CAGGACGCTTTCTTTTTCCATGATATATATATATATATATATATATATATATATATATATATATATATATATGTAAAGAGAGAGAGGCAGTGAAAAGAGGGAGGTGGCATTATTATCGTAGTTCAAAGAGGATATAATAGTGGGTGCCAGATAAATGGTATATTCAATTTCTGGAATTGTGGAGATATTTGATATCTACAATGACATATATATAGTAGAAATAACTGATAGCCTACAAAGTGCCCTAACTAATCGTAAGAGAATTGTCTCTGATAAAACACAAGCGACACTGGCTTGAACCAGATCCAAATTAATTGCAGAAGGTATCAAACACAAAACTAGTAACTCAGTTAAGCCTTCTTTAACGTCAATGGAATATGGAAGCAAAAGATCTACAATGGTGTTCTCATTAACTCTATGGTACTAGAAAGAACGACTCACCCGCGCTAATTCGGATTGAATGACTGACAACGTGTTGAGGGATAGATTTCTGATATGGATAAGACTCCATGAGGTCATGGAACCCTGTCATAAACAAGGCAGCGTTAGGCTGGCAATAATGATCGTGTTAAGTGTATGCCATGCTTTCAATGATGCGGATGAGCGATCATTCCCATTTCTTTATAGATCTCCTCACTGACATCAGGAAACTTTCTGAATCTATAATCAACAAAAAGATTGTTCATCATCTCAATAGGGACAACTTCTTAAGCGACAAACAGTACGGATTTCGCTCGGTTCTCTCCACTGCTGATATCCTGTCATTACTCACAGAATGAGTGAGGCACTAGATATCTCTAGGACGATCGCATTAGATATTTTAAAGGCTTTTGACAAGGGTTACTTTTGTATACAGGGTTACCGCACAAGCTCTCTGGCTATGGAATCACCGGAAGCGTCTTCTCACATGTAAATTCTTTCCTAACGGAAATGTACTTGCTAACGAGGCTTAAGCGATCAACGCAGGCGTTCCTTGTCCAACCCGCTTTCTACTTTACGTAAATGATCTTCCTAAGTATACTTCGATTATTTTTGAATATCAGTACTAATAATATAACGGTATATAGGTGCACCTCCAAAACTCTATATGACCAGAGCTTCACAGCTGATTTGTCATCTGATCTAGCTCTAACTCTAACACCTCAGTGCGGGGAAAAACTAGTTGGTAGCATTCTATTCCTCGAAAACCAAACTAATGACGTTCGATCATCATCAAGCGGATCCAGTACTTTCACCGATTTGATATATGAGGGTCTTGTACATACATCGCTAAAGATGCTGGACAAAAGCTCCGTTCTCTATACCGCTCCAATAAGTAACCTTTTCTTCTATCTTTTACCTTTACAATCAGGTCGAAAATAGAGTACTACTGCCATACTTTCTCATTTTTCACTTTCCTGTCTTGGTAGAAAGCAAAAGCGTCTCTGCGTCCTTGTAGGTTACGAATTATTTTTCACCCTACAACCCATTTCTACCAGACGAAAGGTCACTAGCCTCTCACTGTTATGTCACCATTTCCAAGGAAAGTGTTTAAACAAAGTACATTCCTTAGTTCCACCAGTTCTAATCTTCATAGTTAAGACCCGTCATGTCATGTACATTTTAGTAAACATTCCCTTCATATTCCAATGTTGAGAGATGAAAGTTATACCCGAGCAGCTTCTTCCCACGAACCGCTGCTTTGTCGAACCAATCTCTGGAATCTTAACCTGTTCAAGTCTTGCACAAACCGTTACCGTCCACACATATCTCTATAAAATGAGCCTCTTGCTCTGTAACCCTCTACCTCGAGTGACGCTTGAGCCTTGTACAGGGTGAACATCATTGCAAAAAATAAATAAACAAATGAAGTTTTCCTAGCTGTTCAAATAGATAATAATCTTTAAAATATCTAATGACTCAGATGCTATTTTGGTTAATCATAATGATGATGATGATGTATGTGTGTGTCTGTGTGAATGCGCGAGATTGTACATTAGTATAAACTTGCACACTCGCACACACACACACGCGCATGAACTACTGACTTAGTTATATTAGTAAGAACGTCATCATCGCTGAATCTGTCACCATCGAAGTATTTTAACGCTTTCATTTTCATGAAGTATTTTGATGTTAAATGAAATATTGCTAATTAAATTTGAAATATTATGTGCAATTCTTGTAAGAACCCAGATCAAATCCGCTTCAAAAGTAAAATGTGTTTACTGTTGATCTAATTTTTCTTGAGCTGACCAAATACAAACTTTTAGAGTATATTGTTATTTCTAATATCAGTTTATAAATGTTCGTTAGAAATGCTATAATAATTTTGATGCTAAACACAATTGTTACAGATAAGTTGTTTAGATTAAATGTTTTATCCTTTTCTTCGTTTTCCAGAATGCGAGTGAGCGATCATTCCCATTTCTTTATAGATCTATCAGCCTCCTCGTTTTCGAAGTCACTTTTGTCCGAGATTTTGGGATAAATAGATAATAAGCTGCGCTATTTTTACGACGTTCTGTTCCCATTTTTTGCCCTTTTACCTTTTTATTATTATTTCCTTTAGTTTTTGTTGTATACACATTTTCTTCCGGATCTCAACTAAAGACCTAAGGTCAGAAATGGCTTCATGACATTTTCCACTGATCATTTAAAAAAAAAAAAAAAAAAAAAAAAAAAAAAAAAACGAAAGTAAGATCACATATATTTTACATAGATAAATCTGTTCGTAATGTGTGAGTTGTACTTGTGAATACAATTTCTTGTATATCTTTAAGGCATGGGCAACCAGGTATCCCTTTGATGTGTCTATCGGAACCTTTTCCAATCAATCTGAGGGCTCCAAATGCAACTGGAATTATTGGTGTTCTTATGAGCCACATTTTTGAGATTTCGATTTCAAGCTGCTTGCATTTTGATAGTTTTTTGAAGACCTTCAAAGATATATTGCAATGTGCAGGGACTGTCATATCAATATGGAGGCACGTTTTGTAATCACGATGTATGGGCGATTAGCTTTGCTTGTTTTGTCTGTGTGTATTGTGTAGTCCCATAAAATTCGATGTGTGTGTGGATATTAAATGTGTCAGTTAGCTATTTTATTTTTTCCAAGTTCTCGATATAGTTTCTTGGCATCTTCTTTGACGATTTTAATTTGCCAGAAGAATCTGTTTCTTTATTTCATAAAACCTGATTCTTGAATTTGTTTTTCTGCTTCTCTTTAACTTTTCATATGTTAGTCTTATTCTTTATGTCAAAGCTTCGTTTAGTTGTCTCCTTTTTCTTTCTTTCATTTTGGAACTCTCGTCTCTTTCATTTAGAAGTGACAATTTTCTTCGTAGTTATTTATTTCGGTTTCTATTATTTCTTAGACTAGCATTTTTCTTTTTCGTTTAAGTTGTGTTTTTAGTTTTTCACCTGTTGTTTTTGCGATTGTTGCCGAGGCTGCGTATATAAGATGATTAATTTTTTTCAGGTTCATCGATCTTTCCATTTCGTCCTTTTTCTAACTGCGTGGTTAGCAAGACTGATGATTTCATTTAGTTGTGTGCTCTTTCTCACTTTTGGAATTGTTGGCCTTTCCTCGAAATACATTTCCTTTACATTTTCCGATTTATATCGGATGTTTTTGTCATCCTTGTTTGCTATCGTATTCGCCATTATCTTCCTCTATTTACTTGTGTACCTCAGAGGAATTATTACAACTAGTTTCTATTTGTTCCTCTGTATATCTCCTCTGGGTTGTTGGTATTTATCCCTTCGATGTTAATGTTTAATCTATTCTTGATGTTTTCTCTGATGCTTTCGAATTCTATGTCAGGCATTCTTTTTCCTGATGATGTTATGCCTGACATTGGCTAGTTTGTTGGCATCGATGTTTAGTCTGTTTTAATCTGAGGATTGCTTTTCTCACTAGATATTATAGACGGCTTTGGTCTTTGTTATCGTTGTAGGATTTATTGTAGTAGTTTAAAATACTATCATTATTTCTGTATACGTAAACCATTTATTTATTGTTCTTTTTATGGGATTTTCTTTTCATAAATATAGAGGGCCTATGTGAGGACTGTCCTCGACGTGGTTTTCCTCAAGTTCTCGTTGGGTAGAGTGTTCCAGTTGCAGACTTTTCGATCCTAGCCTGGTTCCTCACTGCTGATCGTGGTCCTTGTTGACCTGCGTGACGACCGATGCGGTTTAGCAATATTTTTTGTTATGTCAGCTTTATAGTTAGTTCGTATTTATACGTAGGGCTGGTACGTGGTGTTGCAGTTTTGGGGGCATATGTTTAATAGTGAGCTAGCCTAAATGATCTGACTCATTTTATAGTTCACCAATAGAAGGGTTAACCAATCAAAAAGCTCAATATATTCAATGCGACGTGTATAAAGGCAGCCATTTTTTCTCTCCCAAATTGTCTGCACTGTCAACCTGATATCGAAGACTTAAAGAATTACTTAACAATCGCTACTTTCTCTGAATCTTCACTGCCGACCTCTGATATTGGACAGATTACGGACTTCACTAGATTCCATATTCAGAGACTGCGGCAAACATGGTCAACACGTGGACGCCTGAGCATATCCATGCCATGGTGGGCTATCACATTCAATGAAAATGAAATGAATGAATATCGTTGGTCATTCGCTGATATTTGCTTAAAAAGCAATGTGTGACGACTGATCAACATTTATACCTCTTTCTTCATAAACACGCGAGTTTTGAAAAAAAGTTTGTTATATGTAATGGTGCTAAAATACATGAGAAATAAGAGATAGCTGAGATATCCAGTTAGGTATATTTTGCGCTGTGAATATGAAAAGAAGCTGATGTTAATATGGTTGGAGTGCGGCTGAATAAAATGTCAAAGAAAGTGTGAAAATATTTTGTCCAGGCATTATAATTTGCGCTTAAAACCTGGGAACGGCACACTTCACCATACCCCATTGAACTGAAAACTAAAATAATTCTAAAATATATGTTACCTATGATATAGTTATATAGAAATCCATAGCAACTGTGTAGCATAGATAGATAGATAGATAGATAGATAGATAGATAGATAGATAGATATGAACAGAATGAGATAGATAGATAGATAGATAGATAGATAGATAGATAGATATGAACAGACTGAGATAGATAGATATGAACAGACTGAGATAGATAGATAGATAGATAGATAGATAGTAAAAACGTCTGTTTGATGACTGCGTTATTTAGGATCAATGTTCAAGACTAGGTAAAACTCAGAATTATAAATGTTGATTTGACAGCGAACATTATAAACTGAACTCAACACGACTATTTAGACATCAGAACAGAGGGACAAATTTAATGCTCTTGGTCATTAAATAATAAAATGGCACTTTGAAAAAATCTTCCTTGAAAATTTATCAAAATTAAATATACTTGTTTAAAACAACTCTTCTATATAGTGATTTTCCAATCGTAGCTTAGATGTGGCACAAGGCCGTAAGTATGGGGTACCCAGTGAGGATCGAACTCACGACTCAGTTGTAAGTGTTCTAGCGAGAAGCTTGCTAACCATTACACCGCCTCGAGGTGCCTTAACAACCTTTCTATCTATGTTCCTTTAAGACGTAGGCGATCATGACTCTTTACAACGTCCTATCTTTTGTTTCTCTAAGTAATTGTTCTTTTCGAACATTCTTTTGCACTTCTGTGGCACTTAATCCAACATCTGTTTACTCAAACTTATCAAGTTAGTTTCTCAGTGTCTTCACCTGCTTCTATTACCTTGATTGTGTCCTGTAGTTCTTATATTTTCCAAGTCTCTTTTTCACATTATGTATCCCACAATTTCTGCTATCTCTTTCTGATTATTAACAACAGTCACTTTGTAATTGCTATTCAGATTAAAAATTCCTTGTTTACCACGTAATATAACCATGATATTCTAAACATCCTTCGGTAGAACGACATTTTCATCACAAAGTTTTTGAGGAAATGTTCCTGCATTCAATGCCATATAAGAGATTAGATATTACATTGTTGTCTAGCACGATCTTCTTTGTTTCTAAGAGTATTTTCACCTTCTTTAATACTTTAATACTTAACACAGAAAGACATCTGAAAGATACATTTTACCATTTTAATGCGACTTTGGAATTCTATGTTTCACTTCCTATCGTCGTTCCGAATCCAAGGATTGATGACACGTCCATTTGAAGTTTCAAGATTTCAAGCCTAATTGAAAAACCGAAAATATTGCTTTATGTATGTAAGTGTATAATAATTCCAGTTTTCTCTGTGGCATTTAGATGTTAATATATATTCATAAATGTGTGTGTGTGTGTGTGTGTGTGTGTGTGTGTGTGTGTGTGTGTGTGTGTGTGTGTGTGTGTGTGTGTGTGTGTGTGAACGTGTATATATGTGTCTAGTTGTTGGTTTTTCGCTATACTAAATAGTCAAATTTCGCACCTGTGTCATTTTTACGTCCCAATACATAATGTATACCTTTTTTTCTGACAACTATGTATTTTATTCCTTTAAAATTAATACATAGTTTTTGTGTTCTTACCGACTACCTTGTCTAATAGTTATTTCAACTTTCCTTTCGAGTCCCTTAATACAGTGTCGTCGGCGCAATATATATTATGAAATCGATAAGAAGTCCTTGTCGGTTTTTCTCTTCCTCTTAAACGTTAAATAATTCCGATGAAAAAACAAATCCTTGTCGTAATCTCCTTTATGTCATGATGTCCTCACTTCTGTTTTCTGGTTTACGGCCATAAACGTTGACACAATGGTCTTCAGACGATCACTGAAATTAAGCAACAGAGCTTTTGGCCAGTGCCTAGTTAGGTGAACGCTTGAGAATACCAAGTGCTGTAATAATGGTTCAAATTTGGAAATCGGAGAGCTGAGTTCCAATTCCACCCCGAAAGTTATGAATCCACACCTTTGCCCCCAGCTATGGCTTAATTAATAGAATTTTTATCAGTAATTCATTGTTATCTCCAAAAAACTTCTTACAATCTAAAAATATTTCTGTCTTTAAATAACCCGCAAGAAATTGATAAGCCATAAAAAGCAAATAAATCAATTAATCAATGCTCTGTACGCAAACTGTACATATTACTGATTAAATGTCTATTATTTTATGAAGACCAAGCTTTCCTAACATTTCAAGTTTGCGTTCACTTTATAGAATGCGTTTGTATAATCTATGAAACAAATTCTTGAATTTCCATTGATTGTTCTGATAGAATTCTGATCATAAAAATTGTATTTCCTGTCTTGAACAAATCCACATTATTTTTGCCGTATTTCATGATTAATTCTGCTACAATCTCTTCGTTAGAAATGTAATTATTAGCGTTATTAAGTGGTTCTTCAAGCGTTTATTTTATCTATAGAATTCGTATCCATTCACGTAGTTACTTTAGTAGCAGTAGGAAGATTGGTCTACTAAGGTCCTTTGGTATTTCACATATTTGTTTCATATATTTCGTTTATCACTTCTGCAATCTAACTAACTTCAAAATCATCTTTTTCTGTGAACATTTCTAGTTTTGGTCTTGATGTTTCGTAACTTATCATCTTAGTCCGTGCTGGCCTAACTTCGTATCTTAGTGTTATGGATTCATCCATGTTTTTTATGTAGTGTATTTTTAGAACTATGTCATCATATCTAGTGTATTTATTCAATCTCTGTAATACCACTTCTTTTTCTATAATTGTTGCCGTTAGATTTTATGTATTGTGCCGAAGAACGTGTTTTCTGATCTGTTTTATTTGGGGGCATAAGGGCAATATCAGTTTTTCTGCAAATTTTTTCGATCTTATTTCTTAATTTTCTTGGTTCAAATTGTTTGTGATGTTTTTGTTTAATAAATTCTTTCTTGGTTTTATCTGGGTTTTTTTTCTTCAATTATTTTATCCACTTCTAATTCTTCTTGCATTTCTTTCGTCAGCGTGATTTCGTGTTGTAATTCCTTAATCCTTCACCAGTGGTCTCTCTTCCCTGGCTATAAATACTGACTGACCCTTCGCCTCGACCTCTTTTTTCCTCAGACTTTCAGCCTTATACCACCTCGCAGATGTGAACTCTCACAGATACAGCGTCTCCCAAATGCTGGGAACACGTTAAGAATAATACACGTACGTACGAACACTCACCACAACACACACATAATATTCACCACACGCACTCTGTCAATGTAACTGTCCATGTAACTTGTAACCTGTAACTTGTTATTAATACATATATTTGTTTACATATATTCATCGGTCTTGTGTTTGTTTTTCCTTGTCTTCTTTGGACTTAATTAAAGTCCAATTTTCTCATGTAGTTGGCTAGCAGGAAAATCTTAACTCACGTGTGTTCTATATATTCATCTACAATACATACTCATCACCCCAACGGTCCTCTACAGGGGTGATCACTGCTGCAGTCATTGTTTTTCTAAGATTTAGGACACAAAAAGGCCTTCCTAAATTGTTCACTGATGGTTAAGTAGTCTATCTACGTTTATGTTTTATACTGAGCTTTTCCAAATCTACAAGTTTCTTGAGCATTTTTCAAGTATTGTCTAATATTTGTTTATTTGTTGTCCAAAAATAATCTTTTTTTTTTATCCGCGCTCGTTGTGAAATGAAGTCAAACTAAACTATATTTAAATTTGTTGTATTTTTCATACTTATGTATTTAGATCTCTTTCTAGTGAGTGTTTTATATTAAACAAATCGACATTGTTCTTGCTCTATTCCTTATTTAATTCTACTACAAACTATATTCATTAGAATTATAATTATTAGCTTTATTATATGGCTCATCAAGCACATTATTCGATTAATTTGCATTCATTCACACCTGATTTCTTTGGCAATACTATGAAGTTTGGTCTACTTACACTTTCTCATATACACTTTCTGACATGTGTACGCATACCACGGTAATCGCTGTATTGTATGTCCTTCTTTTAATTTCACTAGATAAACAGTTGCCTGTATCTCCAAATACATTTAATTTTTTTTTTATATTTACTGACTGCTCATTCATTCTATTTTCCTCTTGCGTATATGAACCTGTAATGTTTCCTTTTTTTTACCAATGATTTTTCACTTATTGTCAGAATGTAATTATTCAGCATTTTCACTTCCTGTCTAACATTTTCTATCTTTCTGCATTGGTATATACTATAATTGGTATATACTATAATTGGTAATTGGTATACACTATAATTGTGATAATTGTTTCTGAGAGAGCTATTGGAGTAGTTTCCCGCTACCTTGCCCAACGGTGATTATCGGAACACCACATAAACTTAGGCAATTGTTGACTCTTGAAGTTTATTTGTTTTTTGTATCTTTTCTTTTTACTGCGTACTGACCACTTTCTTCGGCTAAACTGAAGTAGGGGGGGGGGGGCCGGTTTGGTTTAAAAAAAACGACAAAAAAATAGAGATCAAAACACAGTATCATCTTATATTCGACATGTTTTATTTGCTAAAAGGTATATCTTCCTCCTATATGACAGTAAATGCTAAACAATTCCCTATCAAATGAAGAGGATAACCGAGACTACAGAAATGTGATTTACAAAAGAATGTTGAGAATAACATGGGCGAAACATGTGAGCAATAAGGTTTTAAAGAAACTGGATATAGACACAACACTTAAAATAAAAAAAGAAAAAAAAAACAGTCGAAATTTCTTGGAAAGAGAACTTGGAGAATTTAACACTCACAGGACATATTGAAGGCAAGAGGAACTGGGTGAAATATCGAGTGAAATACATGAAGAGCTTTTTCACAATGAATAGCATAACAGGAGCTGAGAGGGCTAGGAAGAGACAAAGATTGTTTACAGTAACAAAGAATAGCCTACGTCCTAAAGGAATACGATAGTTAGACCCGAGCCATTTTTTTAAATCAGTATACTAGAGTTTAGACATTAAGATAATTTGAGGTGGATCAGTGGCGATTTTTTTTTTTTTTTTGTATATATCAGGATATATCAGGAATAGAACGTCTGTAAATATAAGATGGACGCTGAAGTCAACACCGAATGCCGGCAGTCTGTTTCATGCTTGAAAGCAATCTTCAGATCATATATATATATATATGTACACATACAAAACATATTAGTAGACGGATAGATTGTCATTTTACATAACACATGCCACACATGCCGGTGGGAATGCATACTCTGGTATGCTGTATATCGCATCTGCTTATGTATTTTCTTTGAAATTCTCTCCCACTTGGATCAGGAGCTGTAGTAGTATTAGTACAAGTAGCAGAGGCATTGGCTTTTTAAATAATTACTGTTTAGTAGCAGTACAAAATGATAATTCAGCGTTCTCTTCAAGTTTACGTCAGGACAGACGATGCGTTCGAAAGGAAACGATTCTACATTTGGAGAACGAGTAGCAGTAGTCCCACTAACGACCGACCTGAGACGGACGGAAGAATTACGTTGGTTTGCGTATTAGTTTTCTTGTTATTGTGCTAGTTGCTTGCTGAACACTTACCAAAAGGCAAAAAAAACAAAAAAACAAACTATAATGATGTCACAGTCTATTTACGCGAAAGGATTTCTCATTTTCATTCTTATTATTTTTCTTTTACTTTATAGTCTTAGAAGAAATCAGAGACTGCATTTTGTTCCCACTTACTTATTTGTGCCACATTATTACACATACAAATCTGCAACGTATACCTGCTTAGGAGCAATCGTTAAGAAGCTGGTCTTGCAAATCATTAATAATGCTGAGAATTAGAGCCACACTGTGTGCTACAGTGTTCTGGCGTCCTGCCAAAATAAGATATGCTTAGTCCTGATATTAGCGTCCATGAGAGTGACTCGTTGCGTCTACCCGAGTTAACATTCTCGGCTGACGAAATAGAAAGATTATATTGAATCCATTACTAGGTCTGCTGCTAAGAATGTTGGTTTACTTTGTTGTATTAGACAATTTTCGGAATCTATCTTACATTCTTATAAGTCTACTATTCATCCATACTTTGAATATTGCTGCCACATATGGTCCGGTGGTTCTGCTATATATTTAGATATTCTAAATAAAATTCAAAGAAGAATCAGGAATATTATTGGCGTCTCTTTTTCAATCACTTTTCTATCACCATAATGTAGTTTTCCTGTACCTTTTCTATAAATACTTTCATGGTAAATGCTCGCTTTGGTACGTAGACTTTATAAATTTAAACGCAGTACTTGATTGGCAGCAAGGTCTCATCAATTCACAGTTGAATTGTCTAGATATAACCATAAGTTCGAAGTTAGCAGTTACTTTTCCCGCATTTCTCGCTTGTGGAATTCTCTTCCGGGTCCATGCTTTCCAGCCAACCTAGGTTTTCAAAAATTTAAATGCAATGTCAATCGCTATCTACTCTCTTCTTGGTTACGCTTCTATTTTCTCCCTCTTTAATAATGTTTCTTTTTTTTTTCTTATTCTTGCACACTCAGTAACCCCTTATGTCTTAGTGGCTTTACTGCTTTGCTTGCGGTGAAATGATTAAAACAAAATACAAAGTTCTTGTTTAAGAATGCCAAGACGTATTTGATAATGACTTTCTACAACTTCCCTTTCTTTATTCTCAATGAATGACTTCTAAGATAATAGAGTAATTGCTTTGTCTACGGTCTTAAATTCAAAGTAATCCTCCTACTAGACTGACTGTTTACCGAAGGCTAGTGTCCAGTCTACCCTACTATTTAACTTATATATGGGGTCTTTTAATGCCACGTTCTTTCTCATAAGTAAGTTTTCTTCATTCTCTATAACTTGCCATGACTTCTTGAAAAAATAGTGGAATGGTTTTCTATTACTTTGCTGTAATATTTTTTATTTAATGCTATATTTATCCTTGACTATATACCACTACAGAGCTCAACCTATTCTTATATTTAAGACATAAATAGCGTTTTATAAAATGCCATATTTGTTCATAAATGTAGGCGATAATGGTTCTCCGATAACTCATCTGCGAATTGCCATGGTTTCTTGGAAAAGAGAGTATAATGTTTTTCCCGTTGCTTTCTGCGCGGTTTTAAATTCATTGGATTGTTTCTCCTAAACCGGCAACCTGCCACTGAAAGAGAGCACAGACTAGCCTGTTACTTTAATTCATAACAGAAAATAAAAATGCATGCTCTTTTTAAGGTCATCTGCGTAAAAGTGAAAGAATCGGCTAAAACTAGAATTTGATTTCACTTCCTAACGTTATAAGTAGACGTGTGATAAATAGCAAATCAACCTTGCAGACTACTTATCCTATAACCTGAGCTAAGTCTTAACCATGTTCCAATTATTAAGACTTTTTACCAAATATTACCATAACTTTATAAATATATTCCCTCTTCTATTGTGATATTTTCTTGATCATAAAATAGCAAGTTACATGATTATCTCAGGTCAATTTATTTTAGCATCCATTTGTTTATTTCCAGAATTTAAAAGTAGGATCTCTTGAAACAGTTATATTAATAGTATAAGTACAGTAGTTTCCTAATTTGACAGGATTCTTTTCAATACCCATTCAGTTTATATATATATATATATATATATATATATATATATATATATATATATATATATATACTATACTATACAAAAGACAATAGTGAAAAGATTTAACATAGGAAGAATAAATTCATTTCTTTAAATATGTGGAAATAACCATTCTTTGCCTGGTGAAGGTCACAAGACACGAAACCCGTGTACCAAAATATATAGAAGAAAGTATATTAAAAATCCACATTATAATCAAAAAATCTTTGCGGATTTTTTCTCTTTAATATATATAACCATAACTTTATATGGCTATATATATATATATATATGTATATGGTTATATATATATATATATATATATATATATATATATATATATATATATATATATATATATATATATATATATATATATATATATATATATGTATATGTATGTATGTATGTATGTATGTATGTATGTAAGGGAGATATTATAGTTATTCCAACGACAAAAAGTCTATATTTCAAACAGAAAGTTCAAGATCTAAATCAAAAATATATAGAATAAAGTATATAAAAAATACACAACACGTTTGCAGCTTATTCTCATTTGAAAATAAACATCACTCGTTATACATTAAGAAATGGACAAAGTCCGACAATTTATTAAAGACATTTTTATGTTTAACATTCTTTTTATAGATACAAGTATTTAAGTAAATGCTCTGTTTATAATAAACAGTATTAAATAACATTTACCGGCCTGAATGTCCGAGAAATTTTCATCACTTGTTGTAACAACAAAAATCTCCTAATATTAATGGCCAGTTAGTACTAATTTCAGTGCACACTCGTGTCGGATGGGAGTTGACAAATATCTATTACAGACTCATGCTCAATCCACAAAGTTCACCTGTTGTTTATACTGCAATTGGCTTGCAATATAAAACACTGGGAGAAAGCGCATAATCTGGTGTGAACATTTATTAAACAAGGCCAGCACGCACAAACCCTCGGTCACGATGACCTCAACGTTATCTCAAATCGAATACTGTGAGATTCGAGATTTTAACAAATCGGCACAGATCTCATGGTCCAGAAAGCAAGCGTTCCAACATGCGAGCTCTATATATATATATATATATATATATATATATATATATATATATATGACAATTTGTAAAGCTTTATTTGACATGCGTATATATATATATGTGTGTGTACGCATATATATATATATATATGAAGAAATATAGTCTTAAGGTGTGCTATATTTATGGGATAAAGTGCTCGATATCAGAGATAGAGCGAGTGTAAATATAAAAGTGAACATAGAAGTCAACACTTAGAGGCGACAGTCTGTTTCATGCTAGATGCAATCGTCACTTATATATATATATATATATATATATATATATATATATATATATATATATATATATATATATATAATATATATATATATATATATATATATATATATATATATATCCTACCGCTGTGGGCTTGTCATGAAGTCTACCGTCATAGCGGTCATATGATCGTCGTGTATCCATGTTATCCAAAGGGAGATAGTCGCCTTTCAAATCGTCATATATATATATATATATATATATATATATATATATATATATAAATATATTATAAATATGCATAATACCATACATTGAATGCACAATTCATGCCGATGCAATTCATTGAAAAAATAGTTATCCCCTTTGAATTCCAAACGTTTTTTCTTGTTCATTACTTTTGATAACAACAGCCTCTCTTCATTCTTTATATTAGAATTTATAATTCTTATTTTCAAATGCTAATCTCGACCTAAATTCAAATCCAAAATTAAACTACAACTCATTTAAATATTTTAACAACTATAATAATCGACCCCAACAATAAAGTATCTCGTGATAAACATAAATATTAAAAACAGATGTTACCGACCAAAAATAACAGTGCTTGAAAATTACGAGTTGTGCAATTAATGCAAATTATTATGTATATTTCTTAATATATATTAAATACCTCTTTTATTTAACATTGAGTACTACTTTTTCTTTCACTATATATATATATATATATATATATGTATACAAAAGTATGTTTTCTGAAGCAAAACTTTATGAATACCATAAAAAGACAAAAATTATTTTTATTACCACTCACGATGATAATAGATAAAAAAGTAAAAAAGAACGGGCTAGCTAACCGGTTTCGAACCTCACTCAACGGAGCTAAATCGGGGTTAATAAATTAAACAGAATTATAACTAAAAAATGGACAATATGTATTAAAAAAATACCCCTTTGGTCGGTGTGGTGTCAGTAGAAGACCCAAGAAATTTCCACAAAGCCTCAGGTGTCATAACGCTGATTAGAGACGTGGTGAGGGGATTAGCTGTATGCGATCACCTTTGGGAGGCTCAGGAGGCCTTCCCAGCGATTAGAATGGTGGAGGTTAGTTCACCTGAATTGAGGAAATTGCAGAGGTTTCCGCCGGAAGGGTCCCTGTTATTCTCCATCACACATTCTACAGGCCTCTAAAGTTAACGTATCCCATGGACGTCAGAGGTATTGTCCTAGATGACGACAGTGTTTGGGACAGGGAACCTGGGACAATCCGTCGGGTTTTTACTGCCGTAGATTTCCGTCCAGTCTGTGATTAGTGAACACAACTTAAAAAAAAAAAAATTCTCAAGGAAGCTAGTTTAAATGTGAGGGGCTTGAGTGATCGGGGTAAGGCGGCCCGCCTGCTTCGTGATCTCCTGTCCTTCCGCGTAGATGTAGCTGCGATCTAGGAGACACTTTGTTTGCGAAGTTGATGCGCGTGTACTGTCTAGCGACTTTGTTGCCTATTCAGCATACGGGGACCAACAGGCCAAAGGTGTTTTCTTCTGGTTAAACGTAGCCTGGGTGCAAAGGGTGAACCTTTTCTACGTCGATGCGAGGGAGGGGGCGGTTGATTGTGGCTGATATTGCCGTGAACAATAGTTCGTTTTGGGTCGTTGCGGTTTACGCACCCACCGACTAGACGGAACGTCGTTTGTTTTATCGGCAGTTGGGTCCGTTCCTGGTGAATTAGTCGCGCTTAGTCTTAGTGGGGTACTGGAATGCTATCCTGGTCCCCGATATAGACACGGGGCGGGGAGCTAGTGGGAGGTCATTGGTTGATAGATACCGGGTCGATCATCCTAGGGAGGAGATGTGGACGTGGGCATGTAAGTGAGAAGGACCGATCAAGACTT